GTTTTATATATTGATATAAATTTTGTATATTAATTCTTATATGACATATTTTATTTTACTTGAAAATAGTAAAAGTCAATATGTAAGGCGCATACAAGAAAAATAATTGAAACTTGTATGATCAATCATTTAATAAATATATTGTTTCCTAAATAATATAATATATATATACTTGTAAAGAAGAAATCAAGTGATGGAGAGAGTGAAAAAAGTTTACCTGGTTTTTTTTTTGTTGTTGAATAATAATGGTTTGTAAAATAAAGAATACTTCAAATGATAAAGAAGAAGAAAAAGAGATTTATTGATGGACAAATCGTAGATGAGCACATGGAAGGGTTTGGAGGTTTCACCTCCAAGAATGAAGATGAAAAGGTTGTAGGATAAACTTTTTAAAATTACCAAAACTACCTTATCCTAATGAATTTCATGTTATAAATATAGGAACGGGAAAGTCTTTTACATATATCAAATATTTTAAAAAATTATTAATCTAAGAAAAAAGAATGATAGGTTTCTAATGTTTCGAGGATGACACCTTATTATGTTTGGTTTCTCCTTTAAGAAATAAAAATATTAGAAAATAATTTCCAAGCCYAATGCTAAAGAAGGAAAAAATCGCAATAGACCGATCAACATCGATGTCTTAAAAACCATATGAAAGATTACCGATATTAAAAAATCATAAACCAACTTTTTTGATACACTCTTCTAGCATCAATGCAAAAATATTCTAGCATAATGTTTATCAAGTTTATGGATAAACAAACAAAAAAAAAATACTTATTTTTATGTTTTACATATGCTTAAAAAATGTTATCTTATTTCATCAATGATTCATATATCACTTTATCCACACAAAAAAAGATTCATATGCCTGCATAATTCAAATTTTAGTGTGAATGTCTCCAATTAAAAGACGAAGTAATATACTTACATCAACAAAAACTCATATCATATATGTCTTCTTGAATGACGCCTTAAATCAACAAAAATGCAAATCATCTCCACAAAAACTGAATAAAGGAATAATTGAGAGATTAAGAGAGATTGTTATGTTTAAACAATGTTACCTTATTTTATCAAGAATTCATATGCTACTTTATCCACACAAAAAATATTCATATGCCTACATAATTTCAGCTTTAGTGTGAATGTCTCTGATTAAAAGACGAAATATTATACTTACATAAGCAAAAATTCATACCATGATGTGTCTTATTGAATGACGCCTCAAATCAACAAAAATACAAATCGCCTCCACAAAATTGTAACTGAATAGAGAGGAAGAATTGAGAGATTAATAGATAGATTATCATAGAGGTATACCATGAAGAGAAGATGAAAAATTATAACCGAAAAGAGAGAAATAATGAGAATTAAAAGATCAGTTATTAGAGAGAACATGAGTAGGTTGAAGTAATTAGTGAATATCAAAAATTAAAAATAAATATTGAGGTGAGAAAAGCTTGAGAAAAGGAGAAAAATGATAAAACATTTTCTAGCTTTGAGAAGAGGCCACGTCATTGCACGTGCTTTCTTCTTTAATATATATATATATATATATATATATAGATATCTCCGATTAAAAGACGAAATACTATAGTTACATAAGCAAAAACTCATATCATGATTTGTCTTATTGAATGACGACTCAAATCAACAAAAATACAAATCGCTTCCACAAAATTATAACTGAATAGAGAGGAAAAATTGAGAGATTAATAGATAGATTATCATAGAAGTATATCATGAAAAGAAGATGAAAAATTATAACCGAAAATAGAGAAATAATGAGAGTTAGAGATCAATTATTAGAGGGAACATAAGTAGGTGAGAAAAGCTTGAGAAAATGAGAGAAAGGATAAAGCATTTTATAGCTTTGAGAAGAGGCCACGTCATTGCATGTGATTATAACCGAAAAAAGAGAAATAATGAGAGTTAAAGATCAATTATTAGAGGGAACATGAGTAGGTGAGAAAAACTTAAGAAAATGAGAGAAATGATAAAGCATTTTCTAGCTTTGAGAAGAGGTCACGTCATTGCACGTGGTTTCTTCTTTAATATATATATATATATATATATATATATAGATTATGTTGAAAAGGGTATTTCTATAGATTTGTAGAACCTTAAGAACCTGAGCTAAAGATGTAAAGATTTGGAGGTCACTGGTGTACATTTGATGAAAGTTCAAGGACCGTTTGTGTATATATCTTGTTGGGTATTTAAGCTTTTGTTTTGTGTATTGTAGCTATTATTTTTCTTTCAATCGATTCATTTTTCTTTTTCAGTCTTCTCTCATCATTGTAAAGTCTCTCATCTTCTTAAGAGCTCTTAGGGTTTCTGTTTACTTTCATTCATAAATAAAAGTTTGTTTAGTTTGAACAAGTCCAAAACACATGATCGTCATGAATTCTTGTTAATTTTGCATTGCCATAATCGGCATCTACACATCTTTTACTAACTCTATTTTGCAGCACTAACCTATCAAACTATTATCACCTGCATGTATGTCTAAATTATACAATTTATACTGTTTTGGACACAACTGTTTGATCGTGATTAAAGTTTGTGTTTTCATAAAGACCCAACGTGAGCAAAATACCAATATAAAGTTTGAAAGATTATGTAATTAATATGTTGTCACTGAACGGAGGCCGTTTCCAAAGGTTGAAAGATGATAACTTGAAGAAGTCGAAGTCGAAGTCGAAGTCAAACAAAAAGGCAAAAGACAAAAACTTGACCATATAATTGTATCATATTTTTATTATGCTATTTGTTCTGCAAATCTATTTTTCAAAGCCGTTACCTCCGGTAATTATATGTTCAACGTAAGATATATAATACATTAATATTCACATATCTTTCACCGCCCAATCAGATAAGCTAAAATTGTATCTTTGAATTACCATTCATAATACCCGTATCACATATTTTTCAAATATATGGTTTCAATCAAAGGAGGAATAAAAATCTCTCGTGGCCATGGAGGTTCAAAAATGGTGACTCCAAACTACCCGTAAAACGGACGGTCGTCTTAAAATTAATTGGTTCGCATAGTGGGTAGGATATTCTGCGTAATAAAAAAAATGTGATGGATTAAGTTAGCCATGCATCGTTAAAAAGTAGTTTAAAACAGTGCTGAATAATTTTCAATTGCTTTGGATAAAAATGTCATCGGAGGCAACGGCAAAAGCATCATCGGAAACACCACAGCCAACGCCACCACCAAATGCAAAGGATGTGGAGAGCCAGAACCAGACTCCGCCACCAGGCTACAGCGTCGTAGGCATTTTCAGGCGATGGCGTCATGAAGATATTTCAAAGAAGGGAACGTTTGGATTACGAGGTTCCGCTTTGCTTTTTTCTCTGCTCGCTTTCATCATCATGGCTAGCAACAGACATGGTGATTGGAGAGATTACAATAGATACGAAGAATTTAGGTTTGGATAATCATCATCACCGATACTTATCCAGCCTTCGATTTCATTCATTAGATTCATCTAATTTCTTATTCCAAAAACAGGTATGAATTGGCAATAGCGATTTTGTCATCAATCTATAACGGATTTCAAGTTTGGAGGCAATATCGTTTGATTTCAACGGGAAAAGAATTACTTTCGTTTTCCGATCAGAATTTGGCGCTGATCGATTTCGTTGGCGATCAGGTCTGTAATTCCGATGATCATGTTTTCATTTCAAATTAAACATCGATTCTTAGGGCGTACTAACATCCCGATTTTTGAAAACCTAGATCATGGCGTACCTATTGATATCGGCAGCATCATCGGCGGTTCCGATGACGAACCGGATGAGGGAAGGAGCCGACAATGCCTTCACCGATTCGTTAGCAGCGTCAATTAGCATGGAGTTTTTTGCGTTTTTCATCCTGGGATCATCTGCCATTCTCTCAGGGTACAAACTAGTAAAATCATCTTGCATCTAACAAAATCAAACCTTCTAACTTCACTTTTTTCGATTTCGATTTCCCATTCTTATAACTTAATCTTGTTACATATATAACATTCAAACACATGGAATAAAGTATCATATCCTGTAACTTAATCATGTTTTTATTTCAAAATCAGGTTCAAAACTTGTCAATACATTCAAAATCTATCTATCAACTTACTATTACACATTTTTATACGACCTAGAATTGTTTGTTCCTACAATTGTTTATATGAGGTCATGTAAAACCAAGTTTGTTGCAGTGAATACCAAAATGGTCATGATTTCAGTCAAAAAACGAGTTGAAGATGATCTCGTTTTGCGGTTCTTCCTTAGTTTTTTATGAGAAGTCTTTCACCCAGAATTGATTTGTGTAAGAACTTTCAGAAAAGCCATAGTTTCTTGAGTTCTCTAACGTTTGTAGAATATTAGGAGTTTGACCATTGATGTTACTTGAGTAGTTTAGCAAAGGACTATTGGTCACAGACCCGTAATTGGTGCTAGTCTTGGTGGTGTTAGACGATGTCGATGGGTGGTTGATGGTCGAGCCGCCGGTTCCACCACCACGGGGCATGGGTGCATGATGGTTGTGTTTGGCTTCGTAGGTCGTGATCACAGCTTGTGGATCATTTGAGGCTCGTTCTACTAGCTTTCGCACCGGACACCCCGTGGTTGTGCATTTGTAGTAGCTTCTAGGATTTGGGTTTCCTTTAACTACTTTTTGCCCGTATTTTCTCCATCGATATCCATCATCAAGAATATCAATCTCACTTCTGGTTTGAATAACGACCCTCGGATCTTGAACAGTTTGACTCCCAACATACGATATCTCTTCACTCTCGGCCTCATCTGATTTCCTGCAGAAGAAAAGGGAAGAGATCACAATTTGAATCATTTTCCTTGAATGAAGATGCTTCTGACTATGATATCATTTTAGAATATGTAGAACCATTGATTCTCTCTCTAAAAAAACCGTTATCAAGAGGTAGCAGATGTGAGACTCTAACATTGTTAGAATATTTGGAACCATGCTTCTCTTTTCAATAAAGCCCATATAAAGAGGGGGAGTCCTAACATATATAGAGGTTGGATGGACCATGTCTAACTGATGTAAGCCTCTAACATGACACACCCCTTCGAGTGGATGCTCAATTGGTGTGGCGGGTCCATATAAAAACTAGACACCGGCTCTGATACCATGTTAGAATGTGTGAAATCCTTGATTCTTCTTCTAAAAGAGCCCAAGAGGTTCCAACACATAAAGGTTGAACGGATCTATAGTTGATGTGGGACTTCAACAATATATATGAACAAAACCTTACCATCTCTTAGCCTCGGGCTCATTGTCACCATCATTGCCCAATTTACTATTCGAAGATCCTTGCTCGTACCCGTCTTCTCCAAAGGAAACCAAGGAACGTTCAGAAAACGGCTCATAACTTGTTTTTTCAATCGAATGATGTAACATGGTGTCTTGGAACAAGTTTGACGACGATTTCTTCATGTTTTGAGGCTTCGGATGACTATGTTTTCCTTGGTAAACAATCTCGGTGATATAGCCATTCAAATCCTTTTCAACTTTCTTTCTCGTTGGGCAATCGGGATAGCTACACTTGAAATAACTTCGGGGTCTTTTGCCCCCTTTGACCTTTTTTTGACCATATTTTCTCCAATTGTAACCATCTTCATATTTGTCTTGCTCTTTGGTGGCTTGAATCTGGTCAAAACTGCAATTGGTTTGAAGAGATTGTACTGATTCTTGTTCTACTTTCATTGAGAAGTCAATTTGTTTGGGTTGACTATTGACATTCCACTCTACAACTTGACTTTTCATAGATTCCTCCTGCACCAAAATAGAAAACACAATCAAGTTTTTCATCGGTCTACATTAGATTTTTTTATTAACTTTGATATCCAACTCGCTATCCGAGCCAACTAATTTCAGTACGACCAAGCAGATAGCCCGGAGTCACCGCATTTGAACCTCTATGGCCACAAGGGGATTTTTATTCCTTATTGGATTTGAACGTAGGACTTGTACTTTTAAACTTTGGAGCCAAACTCAAACCAATCAGACAGTAACCATACAAATGAAAAATATAGAACATCCGGCCAGAAATGTCAACTTTTGACTATCCTGAAAGTTTGGACTTGAGATTAAAAAGTCAAAGAACTAGAGTTTTGAAAATTGAGGAAATTGCATACCATCTTGTTTCCAGAAATGGAAGAAGAGGTAGTAGCCCTTGGTTGGGATTCAAAATTGTAACCAGAAACATCTGTCTTTTCCTCCATGAAATCTAAACCAGAATAACTCCAAGTTGTTGGAGATGATTCAATCTGCAACAATAAAAACAAAATAAACAAAAACAAAAACTACCCAACAACCCAATCACATTAAAAATCAAAACTTTATGGAAAAAAAAAACAAACACCATCTTTGGATTTTAGAAACTTACATTGGAATTGAAGGGGAATGAAGGAAAATCCAAGAACTGATTTGGGTTTGCAAACAAACCCCAGTTAAGTTCTTCATTCTTGTTGTCATTTGAAACAAGATTACTTAAAGAAGTGTTGTGAAATGGAAATCTTGGGTGTTGAGAATTTGAATCATAAGTGTTGTTCAATCTTGAAGGATCCATGATTCCTTTTTCTTACTCAAAAACTCTTGTAAAACCCCAAAAGTCTTGTGTGTTGACCTTTGTCTTTTGATAAACTAAAGAAAGTCAAAGACCCACACAAAGAGAGAGAGAGAGATGTTGATTTTGGATTATGAAGATTTTGGGGTTTTCCTTTTTAAATGATTTGATATTGGGGGGGTTTGTTTGGTTCTGGGAAGGTAGTGATTAAGAACTGGTGTTAAGTTTTGACAATTTCTCTTAGTCAAACTATGACTTAGTTGCTTTTAAGTAGAATGGGTGAACTGAAGAAAGAACCTTCATTATTGACCATTTCTTAATTTCGATCTTCAAGATTGTCCAATTTTAGTGATAGTGACCTTTTCCTCTATCAACGTTCAAGGTTGTTACAATAAGATTGGATTTATAATCACATCACAATGGTGGTGCTTGATTAGTTTGACCTTGGCTCTAAAGGTCAAAAGAACCAGTACATGGTATGTTCAACTACAAGGAGGAATAAAAATCTCCTTGTGGCCATGGAGGTTCAAATGCGATGACTCTGGACTATATGCAAAGCAGGTGGTTCACCCTGGGATTAGTCGGGTCACATAACGGGTTGGATATCTAGGTTAATAAAAAAAAGATGGTTAGGTATTCCAATAGATTATTCTATATATAGGGTTTAAGTTTGTAAGACCAAACAGTTGTTCGTTTTGTATATAAAAGTGTTACAATAAGTTTATAAGATGATTTTAAACGTCTTAACAAATATATTTTTAAAGTAAACCGTTGTATTAGTTTTTTGCAGGACATTTTGAATTAAAGCTTTATAGACATTATTTTTAAATGTTGTCGTCTAATAATATTAATAAAACATCTTATTTCAACACTTTTTAATAGGATAAATAATTATTTGGTCTTACAAGTGTTATAAAGCAGCTATTATGGACACTTACAAAGTTTCAGCGTCCTATAATTTTGTTGTAATGAGTCGTTAAATCGAACGTATTTAAATGTGTCTTGTTTAAGAGTAGAATGACTTACGTTCTAGAATTTGACTGAGGCGGTATCTGGATCCATCTTGTATTTCTTTGGGTTATCAAAGTAACGATGAACCCTTCTTGGATCACCAACTTCGCTTGCATAGTCTGCGTTAACCAAACATCCGATCTCCAACTGAATCCGCTTTGACCAATTTGCATTTGTGTCAAATTTGTGAATTTCTTAATTGTTACACAAGATTTTTTTTCACAAGTTGTTTCATTGTGAAATTTCCCTATGCTACAAGAAGCTTGGCGCATTTTTCGTGTTGCACTTCCAATTTTTCACTCAACAATAGTGTCAAGTTGTAAATTTCTAAACGGGTGTTTTTTCGGTTATAGTCAATGATTATTTTAACGACAAATTTTGCATTGTGCCTCCATTTTTTCACTCAACAATATTGTCAAATTGTTATATTTCTAAACAGATGATTTTCAGTTACACTCAATGATTACTTCGACGACATCTTTGGAAACAGAAGGCCCTACTTGGAAACCAACAACTTTGAGAGTCAAGATGGTGTGTGGCCAATTTGAATTAGAAGCTTGGAACACAATTTCGAACTCGAGTTAATATCGAGCAAAAAGCAAATCAAAATCACGAATTATAGACTTGAGAGAGTTACAAAGAACGAGAGCAAATAGAAGTAGGTATATGAAAACCCAATAAACCTTGCTATGCATTTCGAAAGTGGCAAAATGGTAAGTAAGGGTAATGGCAATGGCAAAGTTGTAATATATTCAAATGGCAAATTTGTATAAAGGTCCGAAAACTTACTCTTTCATTATAACTGGTCCCGGTCCCATAAAATGTCAAGTAGCCACTTCCAATTAAAATGGAAATCCTAAAATGTCTAATACAACACATACCAGATAATCATCACTACCCTCACTTATCTTATCAGATAAGTTTTCGGCTATCAAAGTGATACTGTAAGATTGTTGATAAGTGTCTCTAATCTGATAAGCAAATTCTCAGTTCTTGCCATGTCTCTCACTGTATAAGGTTCTCGATCTTCGCCATGCCTCTCACTGTATAAGGTTCTCGATCTTTGTCATGCCATTCTCAATTGGTAATGTAAGTGACCAGTAAGGACTTGCCCGGTAGCATTTGGTAAACGGGCCATTACTGGTACGGTAGTACTAATATTTTCTTCACGACTCAACTCTATCAACAATAAGGGATTGTTTATTAGCAGCTTAATAAGCTTAGTAGCACTCACAGCTTATTTGGTTAACTATACATGACAGTTAGGTAGTGACTTGATGATATAGAAAATATTTTTCCCAAACCTGTCCCTTCCAATTAATAAAAACACACTCCTCCCATTTATGGAAAAAAAATCTTCATAATCTATACAGACAGATTAATTTACAC